AGAGAGGCGGGGAGAGAGCTGGAGAGACACAGGGAACGGGAGAGGAACAAAGAGACTGAGAAAGAACGAGAGAAAGAGATAACCCAGCAAATTAGCAGAGTTGCTCATCCCTCACAAGACCAGATTCCACTTTTGGTGCCTAAAGAGGAGCCCTTAAGCCCCGTCCCATCACCCCAGCATATCCCCACTCAAACCACTATGAATGGACTCTCCTCGCACAGGCACACTCCCAAGTCCCCCTGCCGGTCCCCCTCGGCTATCGGACTGTTAGCTCAAGCCAGCCGGCAGGTTCACTCCGGTTCGCAGGGACTGGACAGGCTCCCGCTGCCCACCGGGGCAGCCGGTGCCAGCGACCGCCCCTCCGCACACGCCCTGCTCCTCCCCCGGGCGCCCCCCCGCCCACCCGAGCCCGACCGCCAGGACACCGCCTCTTCCAGAGACCCCCAGCACGGGGGCGGCTACCCGGCGCAGGACTACCCGCTGCCCCTCACCGCGCCGGACGGCTACCGCTCGGGGAAGAAGCAGGAGGAGAACCTGCTGGCGTCCCCGTACCCGCCGGGCGCGCTGCCGTTCGGCCCGCTGGGGAAGGTCCTCGTCCCCACCGGCGGCGACCTGGCCAAGCTGCCCTTCTACCCGGACCCCTACCAGCTGCTGTACGGGCCGCAGCTGCTGGCCTACCCCTACAACCTGGCCGCGCTGCCCGTGGCCGTGAACATGATGGGGCCCGGGGGGGACAAGGTGGAGCCCCTTCCCTTCCTCCCCGCCATCTTCAACTACGCCGCCACCGCCGGCCCCTACATGGGGGCGGCCCCCCACCCCCTGGTGACAAACCCCAGGCTGTACGGCGGCGGCGGCGGGGGCGGGGGGGGGGCCGGCAGAAAGCAGCGAGACAGCAGCGGCGGCGGCAAGCCGTAGGACACAGACGCTGCCGCTAGGATTACAGCTCAAAGGGGGACAGCCTCGGTTTAGCAGGGAGTGGAAGGGACGTGCGCTCTGAGGATCACTCGGTGCAACCCGCACAGGGCCCCCGCCTCTCTTTTATTCCACAGAGATCAGAGGCGCCGCGGGAGCAGGGGGTGAAGGGAGGAGAAGGAGCAAAGCAGCGGGCGGGAGAGGCCGGCGTTGAAGTGACGTATCACCGCTCCCCTATCTTTACTCCGGCCGTTCCTTCTCCACGTCTCCCCTCTCTTCCTGTAGTGTGTCGTAGTTTTAAAGCTTGATTAATCTTCCTCTCCGACTCGTTATATTATCTATAAGAACAAGAACTGCTAACAGGGTGCGTGCGTGTGTGTGTGTGTGTGTGTGTGTGTGTGGGTGCGCGTGTGTGTGTGTTGTGAGAAAAATTTAGTTCAATCTACTTCCCTTTATAGTCACCGCATAACGAGGGTAAACGCTCTTCAGGGAAGGCTTGTATGGGCTTGGATGCGGGAGGAGACGGAGAGAGGCGACTCGGCCTCGGCGTATTTTTGTACGGGCGACCGGGACGGCCTGCGAAAAAGTTCTATATTAGCTAGCATGCACGTGCACGTGTGTGCGGGGCCGGGCGTGCGTGGAGGCGTGACCGTGGATGGATCATTCCGTGTTAGACGCACACGGCATTCCTACTCTAGTCGGAATCGCTACCGTAGGTCAATGTGTAGAAGTGCATTTAGAAGCGATTCCTCATATCCAAATCATTCAGAAATAAATCAGAAAAAAAAAACGCTATGGCTGGACGCGAGTGTGTGACAATGACAGATCATCTGCGCTTCTTAAGTCTCGACAAACTGGCCGTTTCCGTGTCCAGATGACGCTGTAGGATCTGTATAGCATTCACCATAGTTTATACCTTATGTGCACAAAATAGAAAAAAGTAGTGATCACTTAAAGGGGACACATGTAGCTGCTTTGGAAATGTAGCTGGCCACTGGGTAAGAGTTAAAAGCTGGTAGACCATTGCACTTCCATTTTTCATCTCATTTCCTTCAAGTACAAAAAAAA